GGATTTTGTTACAAATTCAGATATTTGGAGCACCGTGAAATGGGGGGGATTCCATTTTGAAAATTAGATTTTTCAGCGACCTAAATCCACGATTTTTGTAAAAAAAGTAGTTAAAATCATGACTTTTCATGACAAATTTTGTTCAAAACTCAAATTTATGACATTCCATTTGCGTGGATACCCTGTATATATAAATCTTGAAAAATAAACTAATTTCAGTTTTAGAAAATCACTAAAATTCCGATATTTTTCTCCAAAAGATTTTTGTTAAGATTTTGAACAGGGATGGCAAGTTTGCTCCACAGAGGAAAAAAACACTCTGAAAAAATAGGTTTCTTCAAATGCAAGTGGAAGAATTTCTTTTTTAATAAAGAAATAAAGTGACCTTTTATTTATGCACCTTTTTCATTTATACAACGATTTTTGTAGGTCCCAGTACATTAGGTAGGAAAATAATGATAATTATCCCTTGTTTATGTGTCGCTCTAAAAATAAAATTTTCAATTATGCACCAAAATTTTAAACTAAAATTTTTTTTTTTTTGAAAAAAGAAAAAATTAAAGGTTTTAAATTGAAAATTGAATCAAATAACCAATCTTTGTTACAGATAAAAAGAAATATGTCGTTAGATCTTATTGAATAGTTCACTTTTCTTCCTCCTGCGACCTTCTCATTTTTGCTGTTTCTAGAAAGGCATTCTTTCTACAATTTTGAATAGGGTGTCTTATCTGTTACACCAACAACAATGAAAGCCCATTCATCTTTAAAAAAATAACCATTCCTCTTGCCCAGAGGTTAGTTTAACTACTATGCTGTTTCCTAGAAGAAAAAAAAAACAAACACCTGTAATACGAAAGATGAAAGAGACCGCGATTACTTACTTGCAGTCAGATGAACATCTTGGGTCAGTCTCTCAACGAAATAACAAAGAAAACGAAATTGAGCTTATCTATTAAAGCGGATGTCATAAAAGATTTGAAGAAAATTCATCAACAACTGAAAAAGCTTTGCTGATCATTTTAAAATTCCTGAATGCCTTTCAACTTTATGAATCAACTTTAAAAGGGATTTTAGAAAAAAAAAGGATGAAATTGTTGCTGCTCAATGGGAATGTGGAATTAAATCCTCAAAGAGAAGCCATATTCAAGGCGGAAAGTTTCAAGAACTGGAAAGTGTTTTATTACAATGGTTTAAAGAAGCTCGTGCTTCTAACATTCCGGTTAATATTGAATTACTTAGGCAAAAAGCAGTTATCTCGCAGAAGCTTAGAAAATTTAAAATTTTTCAGATCCGACACGGCTTAGAAACTCATACCATATCTGGTGAAAGTGCAAGCGTGGACGAAAAGACTGTAGAGGAATGGAAAGAAGAATTAATATCTTTAATTAAGGGATACAAACCAAAGGACATTTTTAATTGTGCTGAAACTGGTTAACTGGTTTGTTTTTCAGGATGATGCCTAAGAAAACATTGGCATTTACGGGGGACCTTGCCATGGTGGAAGAAACAGTAAAGAAAGATTAACCGTTTTATTATGTTGTAATGCAGATGGATCAGAAAAACACCCCCCTTTTATTATTGGCAAGTCGGAAAAGCCTCACTGTTTTAAAAAAAATAAAGCAACTTCCCCGTGAGTACTCAAGCAATAGAGCAGCATGGATGACCTCAATTTTTTTTTTACCCTTTCTTCATTCATTTATGAAAAAAATGGAAAAAGAAGTGTTTTTTCCTGCACACTGCATGAGCAAGCTACAGCCTTTGGATTTGGAATTAAAAATGCATAGCAAAAAAACATTGATTCGTCGATGTCTGGCAGAACTGGAAACAGGCAAATCAGCAGCAGCCGACTTAAGATTTCAATTCTTGATGCTATGAATATGGTATGGGCTTCATGGAGAAGCATTGGACAATTCAGCATAAGAAATTGCTTCTATTTTCAGATGAAAATGAATTTATGGATGATATATATATATTTTTTTAAAATTATGCCCGCCATCATCTTCTCAGAGATAAGGCGTCTTGCAGTCCAATGCAACACTGAAGCAGCTCCAGAAGGTTGAAGGGAACAAAAGTCATCATAGGAACAAATGTCAAGAAGAGAAGGGCAATCAAAAAGATGCTCCCCAGTCACAGGCGAAGTGTCACAGAGTACACAAAGAGGTGAATTGCCCGGGTTAATTTTAAATAGATGGGCCTGCAAGTAGTCATGTCCAGATCTTATTCTAAGACAAGCAACTCCCTCAGCTCTGGGAAGGAGGGAAAGGTGAGAGCACTGCTGGTCATCAAGAAGGCTAGCCCAGGATTTTCCACCAGCTAAGTCCCTAAGAGCAGATATTGTTCGGTGTCTGAATTTGCTCCTAAGAAGCCGCATTACATTTCGAAGGGGAACTGGATGAGAAGGTGGGTGCAATGCTGAAGCCTCTCTAGCCAACATGTCAGCCCGTTCATTTCCGTAAACGCCACAATGGCCAGGGAGCCACTGGAGGACTACCTCTCTTCCAGAACAAAGAAGAGAGTCGATGCATTGTTTACATTTAAATTCAAGTTCAGAGGGGTATAAATTATATTCAGAAATGGTTTGAATAGCAGCCTGTGAATCGAAAAAGATAACAATGTTTTGTTCAGATGGTTCACCAATAGCTGTAATAGCCATAAGGATTGCAAACATTTCTCCATCAAAATTATCTGCCCAAATGATTTAAGGATTAAATTAACGAAATTGAAGAAGATTGGGATTTCGATCTTAGAGATAACGAATGGAAAGTCGTATCTTATGGACTTGTTTCTTTTAACGAATTTATTGTCTTTGATGATAATTTATTAACAATGGAATTAAAAGACATTGAGGACATCGCTAATGAAATGCACTATGAGAACGTGGAGGATGATACTGACGAGGATGATAACGTTCCTCTAAATCACACAGCAGTATCAGAAACTTTAGACACTATTTGACTATTTACAATTTAATTCTGCTTCTGAAACTCCCTTATCCTATTTATATGAGCTGGAAAAAAAACAGTTTTTGAAATATGTCGGCAAAAAAATACAAACATGTATTAAGGATTATTTTGCAAGAAAATAAATTGTCTTTAGGTATGTATAAATATTAATCGTTACAATAAGTTAACAGTATAAATATTAACATTTAATCTTTAGAAACATAATTATTCATATTGTCATTGCAATTAGCGTTGCGCTTTAGAATTTTGAAGTTTTTCGCTTTTTTCTGTTAGCCCCTTACACTGGTGCATAAGTGAGAGTTCACTGTAGTTTTAAAATAAAATTTCCACCAATTTCAATTGCAATCTAGTTTAAATAATAGCATTAATTTTCAACATAAAAGAGTACAGTAGAACTTTTTAACACTAGAAAGACTGAAACTTAGTATATACTCAAAAGCAGTAAAAATGACTGGATTGTGAAAGAATAACTAATGCGCACAGAAATTTGTTTAAAATAAACTTTTAATATTCTCTAGATTATTTACAGTTATATAACAAGTTATTAGCAAATATTAACAATAAAAAAATTATATTTTGTACAAAAAGTCACAAAATTCTAAGAAATTGTGTCATCATTGTTTTTCTAATTCAAATTAAAAAGCAGTCAAAAGGACTTCCTTGGGCAATCTAGTGTTAAATATTATTAAAAAAATGCAATATTGTACTATGCATTAGAAAATACACATATATAGTATTCTGCAAACAGCACTAATTTTCATAACCAAATGCTGTTATCCAGTATGCTAAAAGATTTTATCAATAAATATTTTTAATACAGTTTTTATTTCTACATACCTAATCATAAAAATATAAGTTAATTGTAATTTAAATAACCCTAAGAATTTTTATACACTAATTACCAAATTTTCTCAAATCAATGATTAATTGATGATTTTCAACAACAAAAATTATAAAGTGAAAACTTTTAGACTTTTCCAACATTCAAACTAATAATCATGTAAGTATTCACGAACATTTTAAAATGCATTTTCAATTATAGAATATTTTCAATTATAGAATATTATATTTTTTTATATTCTCGCATTAAAAAATGATTACCGCGAGAAATTCGCGCATTCTATAAACCAATTTCAAAATTCGCGAATTTTTCGCATTTTGAAAAAAATTTCTCATTTACAACATTTAGAATAAAATCCGTTTCACTTTTCTTCCTGGATCTTTTATTATTTTCAACATCTGCCCCATTATCTAGCTTCCCTATTTACCAGTATTGTTCAGAACCCTTTCGAACAACAGAACACCATCCTTCCGAACCACGGAACCTCTTTTAGAACGTATTTCTCTGCAACCACGTGTTTACCGTAGGTAAGGTTTCTTCATGTAAGACGTTCAAATCTTTTGCTCATTAATGTAAGATGGACAAATACCTTGTAAAGCCAATATCTTCTACTCCGAAACGGACAAATGAAAATGAAACAAATGTGGGTAGAAACGATCATATAACTATTTTTAAGACCATCTATAGAGGGGAATNTGAAATCTCACCCTGTTTTTGAGAAAGGGTGAGAAATTCTCACCCATTTTTTTTCTGAGATGAAAACACTGCATTATAATAAATTTTTCAAACATAAATGTCGTAGCATAGTCCCCCCCCCCCCTATTTCGGTTGCTTTACTACATTTTGCTTAGGATTTGTTTAACTTGGTGAAAAATTAGTTACTTATATTTTATTGAATAATAATAATAGCTTTTCCTAATAAAAGAAAATTAATTTGAAGCAAAATGGCTACCTGGAAAATACATTTGCATTAAAAAAGTAACCAGTGAAATTTTTTTTAAAAAAAGCAATTTTTATATAAAATTTTTTTGTTTAATATTTAGTAAAATATAAATATGCATAATCTGTTTGGACATAAATGAAAAAAGCACTGGAAAAAAAAGGAACCCCCCCTTAAATTAACTTTTGATCTAATAATCAGATTTCCACGCTCTAAGACTCAATCTCAATGGCTTCAGGAGGTTAGAATATGCTAATTAATAAGTGCAGACGTTATTTTCAGCTACATAATCTTTCACAAGAACATACCTCTTCTGAATAAACGTACCATTTTTTTCGATGGATTCAGATTTTTGACCCACAAAATATAGGGTGCAGTCGTAATCTAGGAAATATAGTCTCAATAGTTTGGTCAGATACAGATAAACATGTAACATTTCCTTATGTTACAATAAATTTTACTTATCTAAAATTTGAACAATTCCTTAAATAGTTATCATTAAAAAATTATATTTGGTCATTTCATGAAGTTTCTCCTGTGAATCTCTTCTTCTCAATTTATATCAATAAGTACTGCAAAATGTTTTTTTTCTGCATTACTGATTATCATCTAAAAATTTTATCACTTTAAAAAACAAAAAAATTTTTTCAGTAAAACAATCCTCTCTAAACAATGACCGAACGTCTTCCATTGGCCTTACATTATGGGAAGAGCGATTTCTGAAAAGCTGAGCATAAATTTTGTATAAGGGTGCGTCCTAGTTCTGCAATAATTTCAACTGTTCACTACTAAATATACATTTTCCCATCTATTATTACATTCAGGTAATTCATACACAAGTTAATCATATATTTTGCAGTTCAGTTGTGCCTACTACAGATAATCTATAGAGAAACACATGAATCATACTCTATCGGAATTTTTAAGCATTTTTGACAGTTCAATTCTACCTATTGTAGATAAAGTGCCTTTTTTCATGGGTGCTCTGCAGAAATCACAACACAATGATTCTTGAAGGGACAGCTTTAATTTAAGCAGTACTTAGAAATTACAAACACTTGCGCGAAAGAAATAATCAGTATTCCAGATCAGTATATGATGCGCGATTTCCCTTTCAGCGTCTGGAACAGACACGGAAATATTAGATGCCTGAATAGATAATAGAAAATTATATGAGTGATTAACGCAAGTGAAAATTCCTTATATCAAAGAATAAAATAAAAATCATTGAGCATAGTAAAAAATGAATAATCAGCTTCACTGTGTGGCTGTGGACAAATGCAAATTAATTACATCTTTAAAAAACGGGATCTTTAAAATGAATAATAATAATATATGGTGGGTAAGTTAATTGCGCATTGGAGTTATCGTGTTTGATATTTTTTAAAAATTCCTTTAAACAATCAATTCATTTATAACTCACACCTCTTAAAACAGATCACAATTCTGCAAGAGAGGTTTCACTCAAAATCAAGAGAGCAGATAAGATTTTATACTAATTGAAAACAAATGTTTCCCACAGTGACTTTTATATGATTTAAGTAAAATGTGTCATTTATTGCAATCTATCTGAATCATTTCATATGTGTTCGTTTAATTTAATTTTTTCAAGAAAAATTGTTAATTTTCAACTTCATTGGCAAGTAAAAGTGCTTTATAATATATTTTATATGTGAAATATATTTTATACGTCAAAACTGAAAAATTAATAATAAAACTTATTAAATTCCAAAATTGAGTGAGTGAAAAATAGGGATTTGTAATTCTGAGTATTTATAGCAACCTTGACAGTGTTAAGACAAAAGTTTCACTAATTTTTAACCGTCTTGCATACTGAAAATAAAATCTTATATACAGTGCCGGATTAAGCATAAGCGGAGCCCTAGGCCATTAAAATTTTTGGGACCCTTAAATTAAATTTTTTTCCTTGTATATTTTTTATTTATTCAAATATAAAAGTATTTATGTATCTTTTCATTTAAGATAGCATATTTAAACTAAAAATAAATAATAATAAATTAAATTTTACTTTATTTTGTTAAATTAGAACTAAAAAATAATAACATTTTATAATCATAACATATATATTTATATAATTGCTTTTCGTTAAAAAATCATTGTTTTTCTTAATATTTTAAAAGAGCCCCTAATCATTGGGGGCCATGGCCTAATGGGTAATCTGGCCATACTTATATATATTTTAGCAAGTTTTTGTTTTACTCAACTAAGTTTTAAAAATTACATTCTTTAATAACCTACATAGCCACCAACATGTTAGGAAAAAAATCCAGCAGATTTTACGAAATAAAATAAATTTCATGAAAATTGTTCCATAATGTACTAAATATTTTACACATAGGGAATTTTAGGGATTTTTATATTCATCAAAATAGAAAAACTGCAATATTTTCCAGTCATGATTGACCTTAAGCATCATACTCACTCGTAACTCATTCACTCATAATTTCGAATATTAATATGCATTTAATTCATCAAAGATAGTTAAAATTTTGAAATTTAAAGAGAGTTCTGAATAAAAAATAAAAACATTTTCGAACGAAAAAAAAAAAGAGTTTTGAACTGATTTCCATAAATGAGGTTCGATTCATTATGTATTAGTAATAGTACTTATTTAAATATTCAAGCAAGCAAAAGCAATAATCTGTACAAAAATTCTATTTCAATAGGGCTTTTTTAAAATGTACAAAAACCAGGAGAATTTTAATTAAACCAGGAAAAACTGGCAAAATCCAGTAGAGTTGGCAGCTATGAACCCATATAAATATTACCTTTTATTTCATTATAATTTTTTTTAGAAAAAAAAAACTAATATAAAAGAATGTTTTTGATAAGTTAAATACTTTTTTTTAAAAATTTCTAAATATAATCTTATATAAAAAACACAACATGTTAAAGCAATTAGTTTTATAAACTTTTTATGCTGACTATGTGGTGTGACACACTGAAAGTATCTATTTGAGAAATGAACGTAACTACTTACATCTGAACTTGCATTACCGGTATTGAGTGAATAGTCTTCCATAACAGGTAACTCAGGTGATTTGTTACAACGTTCAAAGTCTTGATCAAAACACAAATGGGGAGTACCTACAAAATAACAATGAGATAAAGTTAATTCTTTTGCAAATTAGAAAATGAGTAACAAGAAAATTATCAAATCTATTTCTTTAATGACCAACAGCATTGCGGAGATTGATTACTATATGCAGCTTTTAAAAACGAAAAAATGAAAACCTTTGTGTAAACACAAAATCTCAATGAAACAGTTTCTGCTGGCTATTATAATTAACTTTAAAATTTTGCCAGTGTTCAGTCTAGACCTTAAAAAGGGCAGGGCACTAGAAGCTGAAAAGGGCACTATTTCCCTCTAAAATAGGTCACCTATTGTAAAATTCATAGATGAGCTCTCATTTCAACAATAACAAAAATTTATTTTGGTACATTAGGCATACATCTGCTTTCACTGAATTCTTAAACCAATCTATGTTCTATTTACATTAAAACAAGCCATCTAGTAACTCTGAATTACATTTTTATTGTAAGACGCCATCTAGTGGCTAATAATTTTATCAGATTCTACACCTATCACAAAAAGGGTACAACTTTTAAGGCACCCAAAACATACAAAGTTTTTAATTTTGTCATTAAAAAAACTTTTTTTTAAAGATTATTGGTTTAAATTAAAAATAATTCTTCAGTTAAATTCCCACATTCTATAAATTAGTTTTAAAACGAGCTTAAATCTCAAATTTTGAAAATGTTGCGTGTTCTAATAATAACTCATTAAAAATATCAGGATTTTAAAAACGATGTCGAAATAAATGGAAAAAAAAGAAAGATAAGTGATTCCAATAACTGCCGAAAAAGCAATAAAAAATGTATGTGGATTTAGTCTGGAATCACCGTGCATAAAAAATTATTACTAAAATATGAAATTTGCTAGACCTTAACACCGTATTAATCACACTAGAATCGAAAAAACCACAAGGAAATAATCAAGAAATGACAAACAGCTCTGGAAAAAAAGATGTGGATTTACAATAAAACCAATCTAAATTGAGCATCTCGCAAATTGACTCCTTAAATCGGAAAACTCAATTGTCATAAAAACATCATATAAAAATTATCATAATAAGAAAAAGCAAGTGATAATAGCCAGAAATGAAGTTGATTTAAGATATAATCGTAGCAAATTGAACACCTTAGAAAGAGATAACTTAAATTCAAATTCATGTGTCATAAAAACATATTAAATATATCAGAGCTTGACTATGCGTAAGAAGCTGAAAATATGATATGTAACAGCTACAGCTATAAAAACTATTACCAAGCAAGGTTAATTGCGACAAAATCGTTGCAAATCGACAAGGGAAAAAATCATAAATAACTGCAAAAAGAAAAATTTGGTTGCCCGAAAATTTCATGACGATATATTATCTAGTATTATAGAATCGACACAGAATATCATCATTGAATATCATCAGATGATGGGAAATTACAATGGAATCGCTGTGAATCGAACCTCGATATAACACCATATTAAAAATATCGTATTTTGAAAAATCATTTGAAAGGGGCTGGTAGAATGATAAATAACTGCCAAAGACGTCAAAAAAAAAAAAAAAAAAAAAAAAAAAAAAAAAAAAAAAAAAAAAAAAAAAAAAANAAAAAAAAAAAGAAAGAAAAGGCAAGTTCAAAATTCGCATGTCCTAACAACATTTAATTCGAAAACCATGAGTAAAAGGCTGATTGCTTTAGAAAAAATTATCATCAAACAATGCGAAATTTCGATGGAAACGACATAAATCGACCACACTAAATAGTGATACCTCAAATTTTGAAAGTTGTAATAACATCGTGAATTTGAAAAACCATAGGGAAATGGTTGAAAAAAGAATTGATCACAGCTGAAACACTATTTATTACAGCCCGAAAAAACCACGTGGCCACCAAACGTAATAAGTTCTTAAAACTAGTTTCAACCTTTCGTCACTACTTGTTCTGGCAAAATTTGTTTGAAAATCACCGATTTTTTTTCTTGTAAAATTCTATATTGATTATAATATATACCAGCATGCTTGAAAGTCAAATACAATGATGTAAGTGCGGTGTGTAAAGCAGAGAAAGAAATTTTCATCTTCCCAGGAAGATTGACTCTGTGGGGGAGGATTGGAAAATTTTGTTTATAATGAGTGATGCTAAAAAAATATCCTCAAGCGGCATTCACGTCTATTATATATATAATTTTGCTGCTGCTTGCAAACCCCTTAAAGTCGTATGGTGACTTTATTGGGATTATTTGATGATTGCTCTTCAATTATCATCATATGACCAATTTTTGCTTTTGTAGCATTAAAAAATACATTCAACTCACTTTTACTCCGACGATATTTGGAATTACTAAAGAGATTAGAAGCACTCATTTTTTTATAGAATTGATTTTTGTCATCAATTATTTTTGATATTTCTTTCTGTCTTTTTCAGAAAATATTTGGTTAACAAAAGTTTCTAAAAAAATATTTTAGCTATTAATTTTGAACTACTTCTAATTTGTCATACCAATTATTATTTATAGCCTTTGATTATTTTAATAGCGTAACTGTCATTTCCTCATACTAGAAATACAGCAGTGAAAAAAGAAAAAGTATATTAAAAGCACTGACACATCTGATTTTTTTTTTATAAATAAAACTAAAATTTTATGTGTTAGCATTAGTAACACTTAATGCTAACATATAAAATTTTATAGTTAAATGTTAAGATCATGTGAAAAGATAAAAAATGGCAACACATCGTCCTCTTAATGGCAAACACATCTTAGCATCAATACACTAAATGTAATTTAAAGATTGAAGAATTTTGAAGAGTTATTGATTGTAATTGGCATTCCTGGTAATCGCAACAGTTAATTTACTTTTCAGTTTATTAACTGCTTCATTTAACTTTGATGGAATCAAATTTCCTTTTCTTCTTCTCTTTTCTCGACGCACAGATTACAATAATGACAAAAAAGATTAATACAAAGCTATAGCTTTGATATTTATAAACTACAGATATACTTACCCCCACTTGCTTCCAGTTCACTGCTTTTTATTTCTATACACTCTGAGGTTCTACAAAAAAATTTTATAAATTTAATAAACTTTTTTTCTAATTTTTTTAAGCATAGCAATAAAAAAATTTAACATAGTTTTTACTTTGTGAAATCTTTCATTTGTTCAACAAAGTCAATAATTGAAGGAGTACTGTCTTTTTTAAAATGGTTACTAGTAATGAAATTAAGGAAGATATTATTTAAGAAAAATAATTAAAATATGTTAAATAAATAATTGAAATTGGAACAATATTTTATGTTTTTCTAAACATATGATTAAAACTTACATACACTGGATTGAAAAAAAAGGAGATATTTTAAACCAGAATAAGTAATAATAAATTTGTTTAAGATTTAAAGCAGAAAGTGCTAAAAATGACACCCCAGAATATTGTGAGCAGACATGCATAATATATATGAACATGCGAATGCCATTCACGGAAAATTTGAGACCATTGCAGAAACTTTAACGTTGCAAAATTTTCGTATGCGATCCTGCCATCAATTTTACAACGGAAAATTTTGCAAGTCAATAACTAGCTTTAAATTTTCAAAAAACTACTAAGTGTCAATAAATATATGCTAGTATATATCATTAATGTAGAGTTTTATAAAAAATTAAAACACTTTTTTAAAAAAATCAATGATTTTTGAGCAAATTTTGTTAGAATAAGGTGATGACAAAGAGTTGAAACTAATTACAAGAGTTAAATGACAAGTTGATAGCAGAAAGTTTTTATGAGATTTTGTATTCATTGAAAGTTTTTCATTTTTTTCTAAGTCTGACCCCAGAGTTCTGGTAAAACAATTTATATTTAATGCAAGGATAAAATTTTTAACTGAATCATTCAAACTTGTAATGCCATCGGCTGCATATGTTAATTTTTGAAAGATGGTAATTGAGCAAATTCATAGTCGGCTTCGTATTTGTCTAGATAAACAAAGAGATAACGTTTCTAGTCTGATGAAATAAAAATTACTAATAGTTTAAAGTAAAGTACTCGTAATTGAGAAACATCTTCATAACAATAAAAAGCTCAAGTTAAAATGACCCGTGCTGTAATCAAACATTTGAAACAGATGGAGCTAGAGATTTGGGCTTTTCCTAGTTTCACTCTAACTGAACATTTAATTTCAAATAATTTGCATAAAAATGGCAGTTCTTAATTTTCTGGTTTTATAATAAAAGCGATTATTAAACAGGGAAAATTAAATAATATTTATTCATTTAAACATTAATGATTAGCTAAGCGGTAAAATGTTCAAGATCAGGACTATACTAAATTTGGGAATAAAAAATAGAATACAATAAACAATTCAATTTTTCAGATAAATAAAAACATAAAAGGATATTCTCCTACAGATGGGGATTCAATTTCTTTTCGAACTGTAGGTTCGAGGTTAACTGCAAAATAAGACTTTATAAAAAAGAAAACTATGTCATAAATTTTTATTTTAACTTGTTTATTTTAAAACAGTCATTTATATAAACAAAAAAAAAAGTTTTTTGAAATGAAGGACCTGGAGCAATATAATAATTTAGAGACAGGATTTTTTTCCCTTCCAAATTTAACGCATCAAACTGTTTCTTTGTATTGTTTCAAAACACAGGTAGAATATAAGTTTCTGAAATTTTTTTTTGATACTATGCTTGAATTAGACATCTGTTATTTTAGTATTGGCCACAAATCATAGTTCTCGATGAGAAAGGCTTCAACTGTTACAATAGACTGAAGAAAACTTACAAAAACTCTTTGAAAATTGAGACACTTGAAGATTTGCTCAGAATCAACATCTCCTCAACAAAATTTGATGCTACGCCTGAATTAGACATCTGGTATTTTAGTGCTGAAAGGAAACAGTATGTAATATGAAGTGTTAAAAGTCATGACCACATTTTTAATGTCCTGTTTTTCTGATATTATTTTGCATTTTAATGACTTTTAATAATGCAAGGTTAATATTGGAGCCATTGAAACTAATATCAGTGTTTTTTTTTAAAGCAATAAACATGGTTCAGCTTTTCATTTTCTATAGATTTTTTTATGATTTTGGTCACCAAGAAGTTCTTTATACTACTGTTACATTTTGAAAATTGTCATATTTTTTGTGAAAATAATAATAAACATACAATTTAGTCAAGCTAGTGTTTCAGAATTGAAATTTTATGCCCTGATTACATCATACTAAGCCTTTCTAACACAACACTATAATTGTTATTACATATAAATCAGGGTTGCAAAAAAATTGACCCTTTTTTAAAAAAGGCTATTTTGGCTCATTTTTATTATTTTTTTAAAAAAAAGACAACAATTTTACCTTGGAGTACAACTTTTAAATCATGCATGTATGCCTTTTATCCCCTTCAACTAACCAATGGGATGAAAAGAATCTATACTAAAGGGTTAAAAATATACAATAGCACTATAATCTCCAAGATAATTTCATGTATTTAAGTTGCAGACGAGAAATATAGGTAACACATAATTTCATAAAATCAAACTTGATAAACACTACAGTGTTCTAAATCAGTGTTTTCATCATAGAAAAAAAATGGGTTAGAATTTCTCACCCTTTCTCAAAAACAGGGTGAGATTTCAGAAAGTTAAGAGAGATATCTAAAAACTAAAAAAACACAAATAGACTTGAAAAAAAAAATCATTTCTTTTATTATAATACATTTTTAACGTTTTCTATTTTTTAAAGCATTGAATATTTTTGCTGCATCATCATAGAAGATTTTGCCTTTACTAGGTATTCGTCCGTCTTACATTCGTGCATGAAAATTTTTAACGTCTTACATGAAAAAACCTTACCTACAGTAAACATGTGGTTGCAGAGAAATGAGTTCTGAAAGGGGTTCCGTGGTTCGGAGGGGTTGTGTTCTGTTGTTCGAAAAGGTTCTAAACAATACTGGTAAATAGGGAAGCTAAAGAAAAGTGAAACGGATTTTATTTTAAATGGCGTAATTTGAAGCTTTTTCCAAAATGCGAGAAATCCACGAATTTTGAAATTGATTTATAGAATGCGAGAATTTCTCGCGGTAATCATTTTTTAATGCGAGAAAAGAAGAAAATATGTGAGATTCTCGCATTCTCGCGCTGTAGTGAAAACACTGTAAATTATACATTCTGTTTTTATTTTAAAATTTAAATCTCAAAAATGGTTAAGGTTTAAAAAAAAAAAAAATCCAGTTAAGTGGTGTAGCAGGGCATAGCTTATTTCACATGATTTTTTTATTTACACTTGGTACAATATATATATATATATATATATATTGACAAAGAGTGTTGTATATAAAACCTTTAAATAAACACATTACTTTGAATATCACTGTAGAGGGGTTTATTTGCCTCAGTTAGCGAAAAAATAAACCAAGAACAGAGACCCGAAAACACCGAGCAAAGAAATCAGGGAGGTCCGGAGGATCAAGGAGTGTAGTTCCTGTGTGGAGAGATACAGGCGGACAAACATGACTGATGAGCTACTAGTAGGAAGGAGAAGTCTTCTCTACGTTATTTAAGCAGTTGATTTTCTACCGACAAAGTTGCAGTTTCAGTGAGTCTTGTCCCGATGCTTCATTTTCTGGGTGACACCCACCTTTAAAAGAAATGCTTGCCGTCTACTAGTTTAAAGTTTTTTTAAAAATTGTTTCTAATAACTAGCTTTTTTAAAAGTTTAATTAAAAATTTTTTGGAGTTTTGTTTGTTGATAAATGGTTAGCTATATTAAAGAAAGATGTTCCAGTTTATTAGTGTTTTTATTGACATCTCTCAAGCTACAGATACCAATAACATCACAAGTTTTCGAAATCTATTCCAGAATGGAAATCACAGTAAGTTATTTTGGAAGGTAAATTTTAGGGTGATGGAGGTGAAGGCCAGGGTTGGTTGGTTTCAATCAATGTAATTTAAACCAAAAAAAAAAAAAATAATTTTTTTTTTTTTAAAGAGAAGAAATCTTTTAAGTAGCTCAAATTTCAATTATTTACAATAAATACATATAATTTAAATATGTCTAAATGAAAAAACAATAAATTTTTGAATAAAAATGTTTTTTATCTTGAGTTTAACTACTATTGTGAGTATGTGTTACTTTAAATAAAGTGATATGCATTTTGAAAAGTTTATGTATTACACTTATACACTGTTTTTATAATAGCTTATGAATTGCTCTTCTGATAAAAAATAATTATAAAATAATAAATGTTATAAATTTAAAGTAAAGTCATAATGTCTGTAAAAATTCTATAAATCATATAGACCATCATTTTTCTGCTTAGATACTTTTTTAAATTATTCAAAGAATGAAATGGAATAAGTTAAGATCAAAAGCATTATTTTTTAAAAGTCTAGTTAATTATGCTTTTGATTGTAGCAAGCATAAATACTATACCAATCCCTCATCATAAAAACTATCATCAAATGGCACTGCGTGAGCGTAAATTAAAGTTTTTTTCTTCTCAAAACTTTCGAGTTTAGTTTAGAACGAGATTATGATGCAGCTTGCTGCAATTAACTATTAATACTAAAATTCATCACTTCTGTAAATAATAATAATTTATGTAAATATATCAATTATTTTTTGCTATATTTTGTATAATAGCAAGATAATAAATGTTTACTAAAATTAAATAAGATGTGTACACAATACCCAGCCTCATCTCAAAATAATATAGTCCAATAAAACGAAGAGGGCAGTCCTCAGAAAAGGCAAGTCAACTTACCCTTACCTTTATTTTGTATTGATATATTTAAAAAACAAGAATATACTAGATTGAACAAATACATCATGCTTGCTACAATTAAAAGCATAAATGAAAATGAGGTATTTTTCTGAATTTTATATTTTAGAAAGAATATTTAGAAAGAACAACCATCAAACGTGAAATTACAATGGCATCCTCTCGTATCAACAGATCAAGAAATGATAATTCAAATTCAAAATTTAGATTTCAGGATTATAATAACACAGTATGTATTTAAAATTAACTATGAGATAAACTATGTGAAAACAAGGAAAAAAAAATAACTACTGAAATCTACCATACATTGAGGTGAAATTAAGATGGAATCATCATAAATTGAATGTGCCAAAAAGTGCTTACTCAAGTTGAAATTTGTATGTTTTAATAACATCGTATAAAAAATATTGTAAATTCAAAAACCACGTGACACGGGCTGAAAATGATACATAATTACAGAGAAAAAAAAATCATCGAAAGACACGAAACTGGAATTGCTGCAAATTGAACACTTAAAAAAAGTGGTAGCTTAAATCCAAAATTTGAATGTCATAATAGCATATTAAATAAATCGTAATTTGAAAACCGATAGGGAAACGACAAAAAAAAAAAAAAAAGAAAGAAGGGAAAATGAAAAATCTGAAAAAACAAATGAACACATTAGAACCACTGGGATGAAATATGGGGTAAAACTTGTTTGTGTCATCTCTATAGGAGCGCTGCTTACACATTGAAACATTCATTGATTGCTTCATGTCCTAAAACTTTTCACTGTTTTATTAAAATTTTTTATAATTTGCGAATGTAAAATAAGAGTTAAGACGCATTCTTTCAACCAGGGTTTTGCTTTGGTGAATTTGAGCAAATAGGGTTCTGCTATTGTGAAAATTGCTAAAAACCTTTTTAAGAAGTTTTTAAATTGTAAATAGATACAAGATTCTGCTCAACAATTGCTGCCACTAAATCAGAGATGCAACATACAAACATTTGGTATCTAGCCTATACTGCTCAACACAGAATATTAGTTTTAGATGAATAATGGAAACAAAATCACTCACATTTTTAATAATTTCAATTCACATATTTTAAATAACACAACTTAGTTATGTGTAACTTTTAATGTGTTACGCATTAAGTTAACTTAAACAATTCTTAAATGTATAATATTTTATTTAAAAAATTGCCAGAAATTTATTTTCATTACATAATAATCAATTAATTAAATTTATGAATAATTAATTGATTATGATTGATATTCATTTAATATCAATGAGAATGTGCACACGATGTTTGTAAAAATAGAAATATTTTCTTAGGCTGAGGGCAGGCTGCTTTTGCTTTCCTCAGTGAAATAGATATCCCACAATTACAAATTGATAATTTGTAAGCTACAAATCGTTTGCGGTCGCCCCCTTTTACATGGTGGACGCTAGACGAAGGGGGTTTGAACGGCGAGAGGACCACTCGTCTGGTCAGCAGAAGGGGAGATAAGGAGTGATAGATTTATGAGGAATTAGAATGCAGAACGCCTTATCTTAACAATTTGTTCTTGTGGAATATAACATTTCTTTCAATTTGTTTTTGTGGTATATCTATTTCATTGAGGGACGAAAAAGTTTCTAGTTGCGACCTTGCTCTCAGCCTTAGAATACTACATTTGGAATTTAAACTTTAAAAAACTTGGAAAACTTAGTTCATTTCAAACCGTCTTTCTTTTTTTCTTTCTTCCCCATCCCCGGGAAGGGTTTATTCGATTAACAAAACAATAATGAAGATAAACAAATTTGTGAAGGGTCCGATTAAAAGATAAATTATTTCGCGAAGGGTTCGTTTTTATGAAGAGTCTGTTATTGGACCGAAACTTTCTTCTAAACCGACCCCTGTAATGCCAACATAAATTTGCCTCTGTTTTTAGCACAATTAGCTAAAAAATGAATGCAACTTTTCAAAAATACTTACGAGGCTCATAACCAAATTTTTGAAGATATTTTTCATGCCAGCTAACCTTTTCTTCAATTTCTAGAACAAGATCTTGGAAATCTTGATAAAATCTTCCAAAATAGTCTTGCTTGGCTTCTAATTCTTCTTTCATATTTAAAGCATCTTTCTGCAACAATTTTTACAAATTAGTTATATCTTTAATAACATATTTAGATCACTAGGATAACCAGTTCAGTTGTCCACAATATTTAAAAAGAAAAAAAAAAACCATGCATATTACAGAAAACTTTTTAATAGTTGTTTGAATCTCGCTTTAAAAAGAAAATTGATTAGACACTCAGTAACCACATCATAAATCTCATAACCACAAATTGTTTATATCGCACCATAAGATTTCTCAATAAACAAAATAATGATATCAGCTTCAGATTTTTATATTTAACAAGTATTTTAGTATCAACACCTAAACAGTATAATTGCTTTTCTTATATTTCAAGCAGAACTTGGAGAGAACCTGATAAGGGCATGGAAGAAAAAAATATTTTGTGAAAAAACAATATATTAAAACAAAAATTAGTACTTGCTTGTAAGTTATGTAATTTGCAAAATGGGAAAATTTTCATATCAGTATAAGCATCAAAAAAAGTGGGCCACTTGTGGTGCCAACGGAGGAGCAGTTGCATGAAAGATTTCTTTATGGCAGAATAATCCCTAAGTCTTTGAAACTTCTAAGAAGCAACCTGCGAGAAACTAAATAAAAAACATCAAAGAAGGGGACCAGCCTATAACTCTTGGCCATCCCTGGAAAACCTCTATTTTTCTTTCCCTTCTTTTAAATTAGCAAATTTAAAATTCACACAGTGATTGTAGATGGCGAGACAGATCATAATATGGAAATATCCAAGCTAAGTAAGAGCCCCCCAAAACTGGGGTTGTTTCCCCCTTTTTTTCATTTCAAGACCTTTGCAGAAAACAAGAATAGAGCTACAAAATTTAAAAGGTAATAAAAATATTGTCATACAGAAAATATGTGTTTTTCTACTTTTTAACGTCAGGAAACAACAAGAAAGCATTTAATAAAATTTAATACAAAAAATTATACGAATACCTTCAAATCTTTGATATTATTCAATTTAGTATCCAGATCTTGATAAACTTCACTGAAATTGCATTCTGTTGGTATGTCAGAATGAGTAGTTGTAACATCATTAACTCTTTTATCTATAATACTTACAGTTTCTTTTAAATTAACAAAAAATGTCTTAGATTTATTATCATTCATATTATTCAATTAGTAAGACAAAATATAGGTGTTATTTCAACTTTCTAAAGATTTAAATTCATCTGCTTTTCCAGATGAAAATTTAGTTGAAGTAGCAGTATATCTTACTTATATTTGCCCCTATCTCGTGGCCACCCAACTATAAGCGAAATATTTGTAATGATGATTTCCCCTATGATTTCGCGCATGCTCAGAAAGAGTTCTTTTATTGGTTTGTTTTCTTTTTGATGTGAAGTTTGTGCATCATCTAATATGATGTTTGGCAAGTAACGCTGTTTTACGATGAGGATATTTGGTTTTAACAGTTACATATTGTTTTCTATTATTTCATTATTAATTCTTTAGCAAAAAGCATCGGATTGTATTATGTGGCACTTGTCAATATTTTCATAAATGGTAATTGTTTTTTATAAAGCTTGTCATCAAATGAATTTCAGACTGTCATTTAGCTTATTAAGGTCAACGTAAACGCGATACCTTTTAAGAGCTTTTGCAACTCTAGAGTATTTATTGTTAATCGAAATTTTTATGAAATATTATTGATATCTTTTAAAAATGGAAACATAATGATGGGCATCATTATATTGCCTTCATGGAGAAATCGTAATGTACTGGATTTCCATTTTTGATTACTGATATAGAGAAGAAAAAATCTTGCTTTGTTTACTCTTTCTTATTTCATTAATAACATGTTTTGTTATTTTTCTCAAATATATAAATATGTTTTTAGGAAATTGTTAAATTTTTTGCATATTTTATATTTCTTTTTTTAGGCTGCTGATGAACCTCCATTCTTGACTATTGGCACTGACGTTAGTGCCAAGTATAAAGGCGCGTTTTGTGAAGCTAAAGTGAAAAAAGTGAACAAGATAGTGAAATGCAAAGTATGTAATTATTCTGGGATCATTTATAATAAGTCATTTTTATGAGAATAATTTTTACTTTTTCCATGCATTAATGACACCTGAATTAATTAATGTAATTATAATGTCACTTTGTAATCAGAACTGGTTTCTTGTAATCAGTAAAAATTTGTTTGTTCAATTGTGAATGTATTGTATTTAAGAAAATTTGACAAGAAAAGTTTTTTTTTTATTGAAAAATATATGTTTGATATGCTATTGAATATACCTAGATGTTTTTTAAGTATATCATTTGAAAAGATATTTTAATAGTTAGTAAATTTCATTTTACACATCTGGGATTGCTTTTGATGAGGCAATTAGCACAGTGGCTCATTTGTCAACTTGTTATATGACTAATTTTGTTTAGTATATGAAAAGATAAGTGATAGAAATTAAAGACAAGTCATGACAGCTTGAATGACTGGTCAATTCAAGGTGATCTCAGAAATCTAATGGATATAAAACCAGATAGCCTTATGTTAATTTTTTGAAAGCTCTTTGAAAATATTTTGTAACTCTAAAAAAAAAAAAAAAGAGAAAAGCTACTTATGTCTTAAAAATGCTCTAAAACAATTTCAATGATTCATTGGTTATTACTAAATGTACAATTTTTGCCAAACATAAGTTTCCGGAAATCAAATTTTCTAAGATGGAACTGAAAAGCACAATTTATTTTATTTGTTTGTAAGGGAGAGCCAGAGAGATACTTTATAAGCTTATATTCATGATTAATATTCATTTTTTATCAGTGAATGGTTATTGTAATCATAAACTCCAGAAAAAAAGACATATTTGTAAATTGTAATTACTTCTCCAGGTCATCATAGGTATGTGTAAAATTTTTAATATATTTTAAGTAAACTAAGAAATATTAAGAAAAAGGAAAAAGCCTTGTTTAAATTTTTTTCTAATTTTTCAATGTAAACTGGTTTTTTTTTTTTTTCCTTTCTTTTTTTTTAACTCACAAAATTTTACGGAATTTTGACTTGGGCTCACAATCACCTCTGACTTAGTAAACGCTCTGTAATCTAGGAATTTAAATTCTATAAGTTATTTATAGCATTAAGTTTAAAAATGCATCTTACACTGAGCATATGACTGAGTGATTTCAATTTGGCATGTAGCAAACATTGCTATAAATAAAATATGTAATTGTACATTTAATAAAACTATGATGAATAAGATTGGAGTGAAACTGTATGACTAAATCATACTAGTCGTGTAGGTTTTACATTGATCCAACAATGAGAAAAAAGATAATCATAATTTTTTTTTTTAAACAGATATTTGTTCTGTCTTCTAGGCTTTCAAAAGCTTCAGATGTATTTATTATCTTGACTCCTATTTCATAATTTTTTTTTGTTACGATAAAAAATATTATAGTTTAATACATTCTGAGCATTATCATATGTTTTCCCCTCCATTTGTTTGTAAACCGAGCAAGTGAAACATCTGTCTTTTTATTAATAATTTTGTCAATGGTGGTGAGCATTTCCACATTTGTGTCTATTTTTTAAAAAATGATTTACCTGACCTTATAATACATTTACAAAATTGTCACACTCAATAAAATTTTGACAAGAATCAAATTTATTAATTCAGGAGCAGAATTTTTTTTCTGTGGGATCACTAAGAAGTGAGACTATTATCATACATTCTCCTTCCCATAGAAAAATAATTTCTGATCAGCTGACATTTTCTCTGACTGTACACTTTTGCAATCCACTCTATTTTACTTAGTAATGAATTGTTTTGAAACTAATAGTTGATATGAGAAGCCTTGAAACTCTTTGATGACTCTTTGCCAGATTTGTTTAATTTAATGTCAGGATTCAAATTTGAATTATTGCATTTTTCTTCCAAGTTCAGTAATCATTTGAATGAAAACAACTACACTGGTCGAAAAGTAACTCATTCTCATGATTTACTAAGATAAGTTTAGAAAAATTGATTATAATTTTAAGAATTAAAATATTCGGGTGCACTTAATCTGAGTACAGTTTTAACAAGAAAAGAATTTTAATTTATATGCATATTTTCTATATAGAACAGATAGATGATGAATTATCAAAATCAGGGATGGCATGTTTTCTTCACTCTGGAATTAACTGCAGAACCATGGTAAAAACAGTTTGAAGTCAATGATGAACCGTTTACCTTAAATAATGCACTCATAAGTTCTTGTTTGTTCAACATTATTTTTCATTCTAATTTTAAAAGCATAATAAATAAAATAAAAAATGTCATAGTGAAAATAAATAATATAAATGAATAATGTATTTATAATAGTTTTTTCTTTCAGGTTACTTTTAAGAATAATTTAGGCTCTTTTGTAGTAACTGATGATCTTATTAGAACTGGTAATCTAAGAGTAAGTTATTTCTGGATGCAGTCCTTGTTTAGATTTTTTATTCTTACTAGTATTATTATATATTATCTCATAGCATACCAAACAATAATCCCTGTTAATAAACACTCTAGTGTGGTGATATTATAAATTGTATAATAAGCAAAGGGTGCATCAGTGCAGTTGTGATAAAAGTTGATTTATAAAATTGACACCCCTTTACATTTTTCATCTTAGTGGGAAAAATAGTCATAGTTTTCAGTTAATTTTAATTTACCATGAAAACTTGATTTGAGTCTTCTTTTTAATAATACCTAACTTTTATAACTTTTTATCATATTTTGTAGAAAGATTTCTGGTATGTGTTGCATATAGCTAAAGCAAATTCTACCATTGGTATATAACTCCTTATTTTCAGTTTTTAAGTCTTATGCTTTAATACTTATCTAAAAAAAAATCTATTTCATAGACATAATTCTTCTACATAATTTTTTTATACACGAGATTTGATTGCTAAAAAGTGTCTAAAGAAGAAATTTAAAAAATCGGATGTCTAGATATGAGATTTTGTAATAAAGTATTCCATCATAAGAATCTTAAATAAAAAAAAATTGATGATAAAAATCTTAATTATTAATGAAAAGGAATTAAAAAATCTTCAATTTTAAACCTTTTGAAACTAGAACTAAGCATAAGCCCAAGTTTATACGGACTGATTCCAGGAAAAAATTAATAAAATATTGAGCATTGCTATATACAGGGATGAGATTCTTCCGCGGATTGGCGGATTTCCGCTTTTTTCAGATTTCTCCATTTTTCCTTCTAATTTCCGCTGAAATTTTTTTTGCACAAGTTAAAATATTTTATGAGGAATTTAATTTTCCGCGGATCAAAATTATTGAAGTTCTCATTCCTCCCTTTAAAGTTTCTCTAAAAATCAATTCCTTGGGCTAAAACTGGTTGACCTTTATACAGAGATTTTTTTCCCTTTTGTGTCTCGAATTTCAGCCTTTTTATCAAAAACTCCGATTCTCTAAAAGTTTCGTTTTTTTTTTATTTTTTTAAATAAATATCCCGCTTTTTTCTGAAAATTCAGTCGTTGAAATTAAAATAATTATATTTATTTATGATTTTCAAAGAAAAACAGAAAATTCAAACTACGTCCTAGCTGCTAACCCTTCTGCATTTTTACTTATATTAGCTATTTTCTCCGATTTCACGCACAGAAAATAAGATTTTCTGTATTTTTTATCCGTCGGCGGGATAGCTCATATTTTCGTAATTCAGACGTCGCTGCTTCTTGTATTCTGGAGTGAAAGCAAACAAAAAAAGAGAAAAAAATAGAGGTGGATTTGCGGTGAAAATATTTATTTGCTCATTCAACTAATCTTGTAAATTTTTATTTATTAAGTCAAAACAATACAAACAAGCCTTTTAGAAATCCCGAGTCCAGACTCTGCAAATATTTCGATTTTTATTCACGCTATTTTAATATCAATCATTGATTTTCATATTTACCTGATTTAAAAGTTGCGCATTACAATTCTTATTTACGCTTTTTAAATATCGTACTTTATGACTCGTATTTACGAGATTTAAAAATCCAATATTGTGTTTTGTATTTCTGCATTTTTAAAATCGCGATTTTATTATCAAACATCGATTTTCGTATTTACCTGATTTAAAAGTTGAAGGTTACGATTCTTATCCAGGTGATTCAAATATTGTACATTGCGAATCTTATTTATAAGGTTTAAAAAACCAATATCGCGATTTGTATTTACGAGCTTTTAAAACCCTATGCAACAATTTGTATTCACGCGAGCTTAAAATCCAATGTCGTGATTCGTTTTTGCGGTTGTAATATCGCACGATTTTAAAATTATGCATCGTGATCTAAAAATTACGCATCATGATTTGTATTTTTGCATTTTTTAAATTCAATGTAGAGTTTCATATTCACGTGATTTAAAAGCCTCATATCAGGATTTATAACCACATGGTTTACAAGTTTAAAAATCACACTTTTTTGTCAAATTTTCGTATATATATATATATTCTAGGATTTCCTCTTTTTTACTTTTTGACTACTCTCATCCCTGTATATGTGGAATAACTAATCTAAAATCAGAAATGAATAAGGCTCTGAGAAAGGCACAGGTTGTTGCATTAATAAAAGAAAAATTTTAATTCATGCTTTCAATTGTTTTGTTTTGATAAAAGGTTTTTCAAAGATATGATTTTTCTCTTAATATTTTAAAGATTGGTGCTGATGTTGAAGCTAAACACCCAGATAAAAATGGCTATTATGAAGCAGTGATAAACAAGTTACAGGATTATAGCCAGTACACTGTTGGTTAGTATTTTATGATACTTTGCTTTGCATATAAAATAGTTTTTAATCACTACTTTATATAAGTAAGTTTATGGGCATTAATGGGTAAGACACTCTCTTGAAAATTCTTTGAGTGTAACACAAGTCAATATTTTGTAGGGCATTAAAACTGTTTTATATATCCAAGCATTATCTAGTGAATATTTGTCTTTTAATAAATAATATTTTATTTTAACTTTCTATGAAAACATAATACTTTCTTTTGTTTATATTATCATAAAACATTACTATTATAAACATTTTTGTAAATTTATTCACATTTCAATCTACTAGTGAAACTAATGATGACTTTTTATAAAAAAAATTTTATTTATTACTTTTTTTAATATTTCAAAGGTTTTAGGTATTAAATATTTTTAGATTGGAATATGAACAATTTTAATTTTAACAAATATTCTGCATATACACCTAAAGTATTGATATGTATTTTGTAAATTGCTATTAGAAATGTGCTAAATTAAATTGTGGAATGCTATGAAGTTTTTCAAGCTAAGAAATTCCAAGGAATTAAGATGTGAACTTGACAGAGTTGAGCATTATTCTGTAAATAATCTTTTGGGACAATAGAGAAAACAGGAAAAAAAGAAAAGAAAAAAAAACGAAATTTCTGTGTATAATTTGCTTAAAAGTTATGAAATATTTTCACAATTTGTTTTAAAACAAATTATACTACAAATAATTGTTTAAATGTAGTAATAGTTTATATTGATCTCTTCAATGTTAAATTTTAATTCAATTTTTAAGAAATTTAATTATTTTTACTTTCATTTATGTTTAACTAAGTTATTATCATTATTATTTCTTCTTCACATTTTGAGTAAATATTTTTGTCTAGTTTTTGATGATGGAGATGAAACAACACTACGTCGCACTTCTCTTTGTTTGAAGAGTGGGAGACATTTTGCCGAAAGTCCCGTAAGTTTTTAATAAATTTTTTAAATTGCTCTCTTTTTCTGAAATTTTTTTCTCTGTTCCTATGTAACAGTGGTCTTAAACTTTTTGACCATATACAAGTGTACTAAATTCATTTAAATTCTGTCTTTCCATTTGATATTTTTTTTTTTAAATTGCTTTTTAAGCAATAGAACTTGAAATATGAATTATGATTTAAGGATTAATTCTTTGCAGGGCAAAAATTTTAATCATAAAATGTGGTGAAAATAAGCCAAAAGAATTGCAATCATTGTATCCATATACACAACAAAGAAATTTGCTTAATCTTTACCTTTTTGAAAACAAAAAGAGGTTGTTTAGAAATCCTGCTGTTTAGTTGATAAAAAGTTAAAATTTTAGTGTTTTTTTTTTTTTTTGTCAAAAATATTTGGAAAAGTTTTATTTCTACCGCTTCCAAAAGAGTTTAAAGAAAAGGTATTGATTCTGCTTAAGCATAGCAACGTTGATAATAAAAGAAAGGGACATGAGAAATTAGTTATGACACATCCCTTGGATAAATATAAGTTATGACTTATTTATTTTTTTTAAAAATTGCTATTTTAGCAAAAAGAAGCTAAATTTGAATTAATTTAAAGGTGAACCCTTTTGTAGGGCAGAAAATTGGAATAAAAAAATTAAGTCATGAAAAGCCATGAAAATAGTGTCATTCTACGCATATCCACAATGCCAAAAATCGAAGAGGGGTAGCAAAAAATGAGTTGAAACACCATGGGCGTGTCATTTCTAGCAAAGAAAAAAAGAAGCATAAGCATATTTAAGTAAGCAAAATTAACCAAAATACAAATATATGTGTTGTTAATGATAGCTGAAGGTGAACATAAGAATAATTCTTAGTTTCAAATTATATTGATAATTTTACTTGATGCAGGTATTGATCAGTCCTTATTAAAACCTTTTTTTTTTTTTAATATAACTCTTATTGATTTGAAATTCTTTGTTTTGGCTATCAATAGACAAAATAATATTATGAATTTGAATATAAGGTGAATATAGGTGAAGAGGTTGCGAATTCCTATTATAAATAGGGATCCACTTTCAGTAAAAATGGAACCAGAAATATTACTGACTCATAATTTCTAAAGTCCCGGGCAATCACTGAAAAACATAGAGGCGCTAGTATATAATGTAATTAAAAGCATTTGTTTTTTCCATTATTATGTCATACTACTTGTAGTGCCTATTTGCCATGCTATATTAAGTGTGCATTTGCATTACATGTATAGTTTAAATATGTTTCTATAGAAGCCCGCAGTTGCCAACTGGTGCTTTGATTTAGTTTACCTTCTAGTGACTAGGGATGTGACGAATAGTGATTTGGCTGAATACCAAATATTCGGCCAAAAGATTCCATTGAATGCCCAATATCTGGCAGCCAAATAGCAACAGTTTTTTTTAAAAAAACAATCATTAATAAATATTTTTATGTAGAAAATATTAAGTCATAATTGAAAAAATAATCAAAACTTTGTATTATTGGAATACCCCATACCAATCGAACATACAGGAAAAAAACTTTAATAGAAATGTTTAATATACTAAAGATAATTAGATATTACGATAATTTAGAATTAAAAAAAAAAAAACTAACTAACAGCTATTAGAAAAGAACTTAAGTTGTAAAGTAGAAAAAAAAAACAGAAAAAAATATCCTCTAATTCTTGAATTAAAGACTTTAATGCTAAAGTAATATTTTCCAGAAAAAAAGTTATCCATGAAACATTAAAAGAAATAATGTCTATCAGAAACGCTTCTAAAAATGTAATGCTGTCATGAAAACCCCTATAAAAGAACAAAAGATATAAAAGCAAATCAGAAAAAATTGAAAATCGATCTTAATTTTTGAAGGAAAATTTTAAAGCTAATCATATCAGTTTTCCAATTACCATATTTTCAAGAAAGATTGGAGATTAAAGTGTAAGAAAAATCCTCCTGATTGTTGCTACATAAAAAAACAAAACAAGTAAAGGTCTTTTCAAACAGAAAAAGCTAGATAGATACCAAAAAACAAAACAGAAAGACGCAAAATTTGACGCTAAAAATCTTAATTTAACTTTTTCAAATTACTGTATTCTTAGAAAAAAGTGACCATTGAAGAATAACATTCGTTAGAAACACTCTTTGAAGAATGCTATCTTAATAAAAATGTGTGATAAAGAGAAAAGTTTATTTGAAAAAGTCAAGAGAAACTGAAATTTTTTTCTTCTTAGTTCTGAAAACGTTGAGAATCATAGAACATCTATAACTTCAACGTTGAGAATCATAGTTTTCTATGTTACTAGTTATCTGTCTTACCTTACAAGAAAAAAGTGACAATAAAAGAATTAAGTCTATTAGAAACGTTCAGTTAATATGCTTCGCTTTAGTTAAAACAGAATAAAACAAAAAAAGTTCTCAGTTTTTAAAACATTATCTGTTGAAAAACAGTGAATTGACTTGCCTGAATGTAATTAAAAAGCGAGAAAAATCAGCATTACAAAGCTCATGGTTCAGTATAAATTCATCTTGAGTTTTAATTATAACAAATTTCGCTTTTCCAAGTGTATTTCAAAACGTAAATCAACAAGTTTCAGAACTTAAATATGTCCTAAAGCTATTTTGAATAATGTATAGTAACAAATGCGATTTTAGATTATTCTTTATGAAAAAGAAAAACAAAAAAAAATTTTCAACAAATAATTTTCCAAATATATTTTGCCGAACAGTTGCCGAATAGGTTTGCCTTCTCAGTAATGACTTTGCTGTCTTATGTTAAATCTATAGTATTATGTAAATCTGAGTTTCATGAATTTGGGGGTGCTTTAGTAACATTTTGTTTTCGTGTCAGGCTAGGTCTTGCATGATGCGTAGCATTTTTAAAAAGTGCTTAAAGATGCTTTTTTTTATTTTTGTTTTTTAAAAGCCCTTAAAGGAGCTTTTGTTATTGGGTGTTTTTAAAAAGTGCTTGATTTTCCCTTTTCGAAAAGGAGATTTTTTTCTTTACTGTGTCGATTTTCGCCACATATTATGCAAAAGCATGCTTTTCACATTGTTCTATTTAATGTTTTCACAATTCAATCGGCCACAGCCCATTTCGGCTTATTGCCCATCCATAGCGTATGAAAGCGCCAGTCATTTTGCAGGTTTGATGAAATACTATTGAGTTCGCATGTGAGTCTCCTGAGCTGAGATTCTAGTACTCTCATGTGCAACTCTGCTGCATTTTGCAAGATATTCTCAATTTTAGGCTTGAATTTCAACCCTCTGAAATCGAATTAAAAAATCTCTCGATCTTTTTATAGTGGCTAATATAATCAAGAAAAGAGTTCTTTGTCAGAAATTAGTTATTTTATCATTGATCATGCACTATCAATATCATTGATCAAGACTTTTAAAATTATTTTTCATTTTTTTTAATGTATACAGTGCTTAGCAAAATTTTAGTGCTTAAAAGGTGCTTATTTTTTGCTGAAAGATTTTGACCCTGTATTATATCTTGCTATAAATTTAGTGAAGCAGACCTACGTTCAGCTCTTCCATCATTTAACTATAAATCTAAAAAAAAAAAAATTGCTTTCTGATTTAACAGAAATTTACCCTTTCAGAGCTATCACTGCAAACGAAAACAATATGAATAAATGAAAGTATCACTCTTTGAATTTCTTTTCCTGTAATGATTTTGTTTTCACCCGCAATCTCAATGGTTACAATCTATACTAATTAGTTTAAACAACTTAAATTTTAAATTACAACATTCAAAAAGTTTTGCAATCTGTTTTCAAATCATAATTCAAAAAAGTTATACAGTAGAGAACCAATTATCCGGGATGCTCGGGACCATCGCTATCCTGGATGTCTGAATTTCACGGTTTTCTGGTTCGACCAAAAAGTGTCCTTAAGCGATGCTTTATCGAACCTGAATTACAAGGACAAGGTGTAACACATTTTAAAGTAAGAGAAAACAGAAAAGCACTCCTAAATTTAAAAAGAAAAAATAAATTTTAGGAAAATAACATTCGAAAGAATGAAAAAAAAAATTGCAAGTTGAGACAAGAAAAACAAGTTTAAAAAATATGAAATTCTCATATTTATTTTTTGAAAATAATTACAATTCCTAAATTAACTAATATAAACAAAACCAATGATTAAATAACGCAATATATTTCATACCTAATTATACAGGGCGGGAAACGTTAAAATGAAAGGAAAACTTATTAATTTAAATAAAAACAACGTAAATTATCGAACCAAAACGATAGTTAAAAAAAGGCACTAACATAAATATTAAAACCAGGAACAAGGCAAGATCAATAAGATCAATGTAATTAAAAAAAAAGCAAACCTATTGATAAAATTTATGAATAAAAAGAATTTATTGAGTGCGAAATTTATCGTGAAAAGAAAAACACATCAAGAAAAACCTGCAAACGATACCGCACTTCCAAAGAATCAGAATTTATTCGAAAGAAAAATATTTTGTTTTTATTAATTGATGACAAATAGATAAATTTATTTTTCCCTTTCATCTTCTGTTCACTGATATGCATGTGTAATGCATTCCCCCCCCCCTCGTAAATCACAGAGAAAACGAAATCAACATGCCACTCCTTTGAGTTTGATTGACGGGCCAAAGGAGAAAATAAAACTTTCATCCCTTCCCTGCCTCCTCTCGATCTGAAGATCTTCAAGGTCACTGAAGAAATGACATTTCTCCGGGTAAACGGGAAAAATTCTCCCCTTCCTCACATTTTCCTCTACTCAACCTCAAGGGTGAGTCCAATTCTCGCTTTTTTTCATAATCGTTCTAGTTTAAAATGGTGGGAAAACCGAGCGAAATTTCTCCCGGTTATCTGGATACCGGATAAATGGTTCTCTACTGTATTTTGAATAAATTTCCATTAACTAAATGGTAAAAAGATTTGATATCTTAACTATTCTAATATTTTTTTTCAATTATCAAGTAAGATCATGCAGGCGATAAGAGGAAACCAGGAATTATCAGGGTATTTACTAATTTTGGAAATTTGAGGGCATTTTCCAAAAATGTTTGTAAAACAGAGAAAAGTTTTAAAGCAACAAGCAATCACTGAATTTTTCATTCAGTGAGTCACAAAGTTTTCTCCTATAATTCTTCTCTGTGGACCCAAAGCTTCCAATTATTTTCTCAGCAGTAATTAATAGTTTTTTCAGTCGTTTCGCTATGGCTTTTATATTCCGATATATTTGAATATGTTATTACGAAACGAATTTCGAAATTAAGCTATCACTTTAAAGCCTTCAATTCGAGACGATTCAATCATAATTCTACTTCTTTCTAATATTTTTCCGGAAATTATGTATAATTTTTACTTTTCCTTTTCAGTGTGTATCTCCCTGCTCTTTTTAAGGTCTACAATAAAACCTCACTTACTTTCAAATACCCTGTGTTGTGTTCATTTTATAATATTAATTTGTCCATTAATATTATTATTTGATTTTAATCTGACTCATTGTTTGTTTTAAATAATGTATTTTTTTATTTAATGAAATTAAATGTTAAAAATCATGTTAGATATAGGGAAAATCTTGGACTTACAGAAAAGAGTCAGGGAATTTGAAAATGTCTTCTCGCTAGACACCCTTGTCTTAATAAATAATTTTTTGTATGAAACTTTTTAGATGATCAAAAAATGTTTGATTCTAGGAATATGACTAAATGTGCAAAAAAGTTGAACTCTAATTTTCAACTGCTGTCTTGCCTTTTGTAACTTTTTTTCTCCTGACAATATTTTCATATTTTTCAAAAATATGAGATCAAAAATCTGAATTCTTCTTAAAAAAGGTTTTTTTTTTTTCAAAGAAAATATGTTTTTATGTTTGAGCTTATAACTAACTTAAAATATCCATAATTATTTCAAGTATTTAACTTTTTCAACCATTAAGACTGTATCTTAGTACCTAAAAAATCCAATTATTATGTTAAAAGCTATTTAAAATGTTTTATATTACCTTACACCTTATATATTTTCATTTATGTCTAAAAAGTTTTTTCAGTTGTTTTCTATATTTAATTATTATATCAATTTAGCATAGTAAGATTTTATTTTTGATCATTATTTCAGACTCTAGATCAATTTCCATTAACTAATCCTGAGCATTTCGGAACACCAGTTATCGGCAGTGGGAAATTCAAGCGCAAAAGACGTTCTACTGTTAATTCGTCTCTGTAAGTATATATATTATTTTAATTTTTTTACCATATTTTATTTTGTTTCATCCTAGCAACAGAAATCACCTGCCAACTCTAATGCAGGCCACACACTGAGGTAGTTGTCGGAGCTAATAGAGTCAAGTGGACTGTTGTGTTTGGTAATATTTTATTGAATGAGAAAAGAACGCTAGAAAGCTGCGCTTGGCGCATTACAATCTCGCCAATGAGGGCGCGGACATCCCGGCCCCCATTGAAATATTCTGACATTTGAATGTTTCAATAATCATAAAAATAACAACAATCAAAATACAAATTTAAGCAATATTAATACAATTATTTTTTCACATTTTGAATTCAACATATAAATTTAAGTATTGTTAACAATTGGTAACACAGCAATATTTGAAATGCTTCTTTTGAAAATTCCATGAGGTGTGCGTATGAACACCACACGGACATTATCATCCTTACCGGTGATAATTTCAGAAATTCGACCTATAACCCATTTATATATAGGTAAATTGTTTTCTTTTACCAGAACCATCATACCTGGGTTAACATTTTGTTTTTGAAACAACCATTTTGATCTTTGTTGTAAATGACTGAGATGAGAGTTACACCAATTTTTCCATATTCTTTGAACAATTGTTTGCGTTTTCTGCCATCGGTTAAGCAAGTTTTCTCTAAATTTAATCAAATTTTGCTCAGGAAGTGCATTAACTGCTCTTCCAATTAAAAAATGTCCAGGAGTCAAAATTTCATAATTTTCTGGCTCAGATGACATAGGAGAAAGGGGACGGGAATTAAGTATACCTTCTATTTGAATAGTTATGGTTAGAAATTCTAATGTTAATTTCGTAGAACCAATGGTTCTTTTAAGGTGATATTTGAATTGTCCGACTCCTCTCTCCCATAATCCGCCAAAATTTGGTGAACGAGGGGATAGATGTTTCCACAGTACTTGCTCCGATGAAAGGAAACCAGATAAATGATCTTTTTTAGCATTTGAAGACTTTAATAATTTGCTTATCTCAGCCGAAGCGCCAACAAAATTGGACGCATTGTCACAAGATATAGTACAACTTTTACCTCTGCGGGCAAAAAACCGTTTAAGTGTAGCTATTAAAGCACTAGATGTTAAATCAGACAATAATTCAAAATGTACAGCTTTAGTGACCATGCATATGAAAATAGCTACATATACTTTGTTATATAACCCCTTTTTTTGGTTACGATATTTAATCCAAAATGGACCACACAGGTCAAGTCCTGCATTCTAGAAGGATGGGGTAGGAATCACCCTCTCAGGAGGGGGATCACCCATTATTTGAGAAGAGACTGTTGGCCTTATTTTAAAACACTCCACACAATCTTGCACAACTTGACGAGCTAATTTTCTGCCACTGATTGACCAAAAAATTTTTAGTACCGTATTTAATAGTCCTTGAGGACCAACATGCAAATCTCTCAAATGAAAATAAGAAAAAGTAATCTTAGAAAGTTTATGGCCAGGAGGTATTATTGTTTGATGAACAGAATTATAATTTAAATTAGAATTGGTCAACCGACCACCAACTCTAAGCAAACCATCTTGATCTAAAAATTGATTCAAAAATTTCAATTTACTATTCACAGGAACAGGCTTACCTTTCTTTAAGGCTGAGATATCTGCAACAAAGTACTCACCTTGCACCTGTTTTATAATAACATTTCTGGCTTTATCTAATTCTTCTACTTTGAGAGGACCCCTAAATTTATTAACATTTCTACAATTTGAAAGAAACCTAAAAATAGAAGCTAAAATTCTTATTAGTTTCATGTAATTATTTAAAAGATTTAAAAAGTCATCAATAAAGTCATTGTTGGTGATTAAAGTCAGTAGCAGAACTGGTTTCAGCTCTTTCTGAAAAAGTTCACAATCAGGAATTAAATCTAGTTCAGGTTCATTGTTTTTAATTATATTCTCACTCAGGAACATAGGGTCTTTCCAGCAAAGTTTATTGCTAGAAAAAACAAAGGCATCTTGACCTCTGGACAAGGCCTCTGCCAGGTTAAATTCTGAGGCAATGTGTTTCCAGCAAAAGTCCTTGGACAGTTGTTGTACCACTTGATTGCAGACGAAAGTCTTAAGGAGATTGGGTGAGGTCTTGATCCAAGCTAAAGCAATCGTGGAATCGGAGTACAAGATGACTTGATCGAATTTAATTTTTAGAGATGAAATAACTTGATGCACGAGTTGACACAATAGTAAGCAAGCTGAAAGTTCAAGTCTGGGATACTTATGGTCTTAATAGGAGCCACTCTGCTTTTGCTGCAGATTAGCTGACTGGAAGGCACATTGGATTTGGAAACAGTTTGTATGTAGATGCAGTCACCGTAGGCCTTTTCACTGGCGTCTGCAAAGCCATGAAGACGAATAATCGTTGGTTCCAGGATCATAATTCATCTTGGGATATGCAAAGTTTCTATGGAAGAAAGAGATCATAAAAATTTTTCCCATTTTTGGTAAACGTGAGGTGGAATCATTTCGTTCCAGTCACATTTTAAAAGCCACAATTGCTGCATGAATATTTTAGCACTGCAGATAGCAGGACCAAGTAGGCCCAATGGGTCAAAGATTTTAGCAATTTGGCTTAGCACTTAACGTTTAGTGTAATTCGAGCTTAAAGCTGCTGTGACATTCAACTGAAAAGTATCCTTTCTACTATTCCACAGTATTCCAAGAGTTTTTATGGTAGTATCTGCACAATCTTGTTTGAAGGGAAAAGATTGAGATGCTTCCGTTGAAGTATCAATGGCATTGCAACGCCATTTATGTAAGTTCATTTGTCCCTTTTGAAGGAGCTTAGTTAGTTGTTGTCTTAGTTCATTAAATTCCTCAATACTGTTTGACCTCAAAAGGCAGTCATCAATATAAAAATCGTTCATTAAAATCTTGAAGGCATTAGGAAAATTCTTTTCTTCATCGGTTGCGATTTGATGTAGAACTCTTGTAGTAAGATAGGGACTGGATGCACAGCCATAGTTCAACCATGGTTTTCAAATTGTACACCTTGAGTGGTTCCTCCCTCCCCTCTTTCCATAAAATTTTTTGATACTTAGTTTGCAACGGATTTATTTCGATTTGCCGAAACATTTTATTTATATCGGCAGTAAATGCGAAAATATGTTTTCTAAAACGAACCATAATTGAAAAAAGATCGTCCTGTATGATTCCGCCTTTACATAAAAAATCATTTAAGGACATTTCATTCGTAGTTTTACAACTCCCATCAAAAACTACCCTTGATTTAGTTGAAGTGCTGGATGGTCGCAATACACCATGATGGGGTAAAAAATATCCTTCGTCCGGAATTGAATCATCGCAAATTTGTTCCATGTGACCTAAAGATTTGTACTCGCAAATAAAACTAATGTACAATTCTTTTGATTTAGGATCACAATATAAGCGATTCCATAATTGTTTTAATCTGTTAGACGCAATTTGTTTTGAATCACCTAATAAAATATTATCTGAATATTGTTGTTTAATCGGCAATTCAACCCCGTATCTACCATCTGTTTTTCGGTAGTGAGTATTTAAAAAATGCTCATTACAATAGTTTAATTCGTCATCAACCATTGGTTTATTTTCGTTTACGCGTTCTATTTCCCAAAAGGAAGTTAACGCCTTAACAAGATTTTCGGTTTCAACAAGTAAAAAACACGAATCGTTCATTTTCTCTAAATTAGAATTTAGGTTGTTCGCAACTCCCGATACAACATGACCAAAAAACGTTTCAATTAATATTAATTGGGAATCTTTAATTTTAATTTTATTCGTACCCAATAGTTCGAAGAATAATTCTGCTCCTAAAAGAGCATCAATTCGTTTTGGTTTATTCCAATTATTATCGGCAAGTTTTATTTTTTCAGATAAACTTAAATTCGATATGTTATTAAATGTGGGTGGAAGAACAGCAATTTTTGGAACTATTAACAAGTCTAAATAGTAAGATTTATTATTTTCTTCATTTGTTAACTCGGTACGAACAAATGATTTAGCTGTAATGCACGAGTCATTAACACCAGAAATCGGAATATTTGTTTTTTGTTTCCTTAAACCCAATAAATTAGCAGTTCTACTGCTTATTAAATTCGAACTTGAACAGCTATCTAAAGTGGCTATTAATGGTCTAAATATTCCCTGCCCATCTTTAATGTAAACAACCGCTGTATTTAAAATCACGCAATTAGCATTTTTGTTTTTATTCATAAACAAAGCGTTCGAAGGAGTGAAAGGAGGGGAGAGGGGTGACAAGATGTCTGTCTCCCTTTTCTCTTCTGCTGGTGTATCAAAAGTAAATTACTAATTTTTTTTATTTTCATGAAGTAAAGAATGATGATCTTTGCTTTTACAAAAGCAGTATTTTGATATGCAAGGATTAGGAAAGTGCTTATTTAGGCATGCAAAACACAAATTATGTGTTTTTACTATTTCAATTCGCTGATTTACACTCATTCATTTGAATTTATCGCATTTCTAGTCTAAAAATTATGACTTTCCCTACAACCTAGTAAACATGGCTTATAAATTTTCGATTTAATTAAATACATTTTCTCTGTATTTGGCCTTGAACTAAAATGAGGCTTCTTTCTTTCCTCTTTAATATTAAGACCTTGCGTAATTCTAGAACGTTCTTCCAAAAAACTTAGAAAATTGTCTAGTTTGGGTATTTCGTTTTTCGACAATTTCATTTCAAAACTTTTTCTAACTTCTGGATCGAGTTTTTGGAATAAAATGTGCGTAATCAATGTATCTGATAGCTCATTTGATTTAAATTCAAGCAAGTTTAATGCTCATAAATTACATTTAGTGTTATCGATTAATTGCATGGGCTGATTAGGAGAGTCAGGGACTCTTGAAAAATTTAATAATTTATTAACATGGCAATCGATAACTGCTTGTTTGTTCTTGTATCTATCTTCAAGGGTAGACCATAAAGATTCAAATGTATCTTGGGCTGACTCAAGGCGTTTTGCTTCGCCTTTGAGGCAGCTTTTAAGATATCACAGTCCTTGTGTGTCGCTCAACTCTTTATTATTTCCAATGATAGAATTAAATTGAATTTTAAAATTTTGAACTTCTTCATATTTTCCGGAAAAGAAAGGTAATAGTAAATCAGGAATTTTATATATATTGGTACATGAATCATTTGATTCCGTTTCATTAGGTTTATTATTATCAATTTTAGAGAGTAAAATATTAATCTTTACCTCTATTTCTTCGATTTCATCTTCTATATGTTGAGCAACATCTAGGTTGTCTTTTAGATCAATTTCTTTCGGAAGTAGTGTATATGCTTTTATCAGTTCTGATATCGATGCTTGTAGTTCCATCGCCACCTTCAATTTCTTTTTGAGAATGATGGCAGCGGCGCTTGCATCTTGTACGTTGAATGTTCTTCCAAAAATTTTTGGATTTTGTTTATTTTTTTTAACTGCCCCACGTTGGCGATTAAGATTTGTTATTGAGTTAATTGTGCTCATATTGAGGCTAGTTCTCTGCTCTGGGTCGCTAGGACCAAAGATGTCGGAGCTAATGGAGTCAAGTGGACATTTGATAATTTTTTATTGAATGAGAAAAGAACGCTAGAAAACTGTGCTTGGCACATTACAATCTAGCCAATGAGGGCGCGGACAGTAGTAAAAGAAATGAATACAGGTGACAAATACCTATACTTTTTCATTAGAATGCGCAGAAGTGCATGCTAAATCAAAATTATGGGTTTGTCTCATGCCTCTTTCTTACCTCACTGCCTAATGGAATTCATTAGTTCTTCCCGATTTAATCTTTTTTTAATATTTTCACTTTTTCTGTGATATATAGAAAGCAAAATAAGATCAACTTGTGCTTTGTAGTACAATTACTCTATTTGCATTTTTCAAAATGTAGATGCATAAAAATCCTAAACAATGTTGCAGTACATTCTTTACCCAAGTTGAGCTTTGTATATAAAAATAAGCTTAACATTTGTTTTTCATTAAATTCTACTATGAACCTGCAGGAAATAATGCCTGATTTTAAAGACTGAAAGTAATATTGCCATTTGAGGGAGTGTGATGCAAAGTTTCTCCACATGCATTTGATCAGGGGTCTGTCTAGGTTTTTCTGAGAGGTACCTATTTTGTGAAAATTTAGACATAATTTGTGAAAAATTAAAAATTATATTAAAAAATCAACACAAAAATATGGATTTATCATTTTTTAAGGGATACAAAAATAAAATTTTAAGAAAAAGTATTTTGTGAAACTACCGTTTTTCCTAAAATTGAATTTGTGAAACTACCGTTTTTCCTAAAGTTGAATTTGTGAAGGTACCGCTAAACGGTAGTAAATTTGGCCTGGACAGACCCCTGTTGATTTAAAATTTTTAGCAGCCCGGGGTTCAAAATAATATGTAGGAATTTGCAGCTAGATGTGAAAGGAAAGGATAAATAACAAAAATGGTATTTGCCCCTTTATATTTGAACGCACCTGATAAAAACTAAATGACAAGAAATGTGGAATTATGGGACGATTAATAAAATAAACAATCCATCTGTACTGTATATTCCTTTATTTTTGACACCCGAATTCATCAGTTCAGGAATCACAATCCTTCAACTTCCCTTTGAGTTGATCATTTTTTTTTTTCTCTCTCTAGGGTCAATAATTTGCACCATTTCTATTCGGCTGGTTTTTATCATCTTTGTAATTAATACACTATATTACCGACCTGTTAGGCTGAGTGTATCCAACATGATAGGTAGGTGACAACAAAAGGGATATTCAGCTATTTCCCAGAGGACAAAAATGCAACATCATAAAAAATGTCTGCCAAAGCTATCTTAAAAAATATATATCTATATCTTATTGAAATGATATAAATCTTCACAATGCATTCGGTAACAATCTATTAACTTATTCATTACTGAATTAGCAATTACATTCCCTTTTGAAAGGGATAGAAACAGTTTTTACATTTTTGTATCTTCAAGCATGTGTTAACTGCAGCTATTCCAAGCAAGAAATGAAGGTTACGAGGATAAAAACGGTTAACAATAGATCCTAAAGTAGGCTTGTGGAACATTTGTTAGCTTACGTCTCTAAGAGGGTTATTTGAAGGTGACACAATTTTGCTGGTATCCAGATCGATTTTGATGACAAGGTTAACCACACTCTCAAAAAGGAAGGAAAGGGGAAAACAACTTAATGAAACCCTTGTTGCTATGTGACTATGTCAGACTTCTTGATTTCGATTGGTTATTCTTATATTCAATGGGACTGGTTGTTTCTATCATTATTTATTGGGGACCTGCCGATTCTCAGGCTTTCGTGTCAGGCCTCCAAAGTATTATTTTCTCACATTTTTATATGAATCGGCAGACCAGTGCACATTTCGCATACTATTTAAATTTCTTTCATCTAGATCAGCCAATTTGTTGTTCAAATGAATTTAGTTATTCTAAATTCCTTTTTATAACCTTTTTTCAAAAAAAAAAATTAATTTTTTTTTTTGAAAGTGTCTGATAAAGAAAAAAAAAATCTATAACACTGCTTTTAATAAAGCATGTACAAAACTTAATTTCACATCATTGGAGGCTGGTAGTTTCTTAGCTCTTTTCACCAACTTTTTTAAATATTAGTATTTTTATATGGTGTTATTATGATGTCCAAATTTAAAATTTAAGTTTTCACTTTTTGACAAATTCGATTCATAACAACTCTGTCATTAATCCATGTTAATTTCTCATCCTTTTTTTCAGCCATTTCTATTTGTTTTTTCTTATTCTAATATTTTTTGTATGATGTTATTAAGACAAGTATGTATTTCGAATTAAAAGAGTAACTTTTTATTACTCTCACTCATTCATGTTGTTCACAGATAATTTTTTTCTCCGAGTGTTCGCCTTTTTGTATCTATTTCCACATGGTTTTTCCAGCTCTGATATACCTAATAGGGTGTTATGGCTAACAAATTATGTATTTTAATAATTACTTATTTACGTGCTAGATTTGTTATGATTCTATAGTAAATCCACATAAATTTTTCATGTTTCTTTTAATAGTTTCTTTAAATCATTTTAACATTTTTATAAACCCGATATTTTTAATACTTGTTATTACTGCAGGCGTCATTTTCAGAATTGTAGAATTACATTTATTTTAAAAATTCGATTTATAGAATGTGCAAATTTAACTGAGGAATTATTTCTCAGTTTACCTATTTCTTTTTAAAAATATGATTATTTTAAATGATAAAACTAAGAAATTTGCTTATTTTAGATTTCTTAATAACTATGAAAATATTTGTGAACCTTTTGAAAGGAGGTAGGGAATATGGTACGATTTTCAGTTTCTCATGCCCTGCTCTTTTTAAGGTTTGGAATGAATCCTGCAGTATATACATTGGAAATTATATACACGTGTATATGATTAACTTTTAAATGTGTATATGATTTTTTTTTTTTTGCCTTCAAACTTTTTTTTAATAGCATTAATTGCTTAAACTTACTAACAACTGCTAACATTTCAAATATATGTTAAAATATGTCTTTCTTTCTTTTTTTTTTAACTAATCTTAAATTTTGCTGCTATAAATTGTCTGGTATTATGATCATTTGATGCTATTCAAAGAGTAAAGTATGAATTGACAGCTGTGAAAAAAATGGCAGTTGAGTTTTTCCATAAAGACAACAATATCTGAGTAACATCATGAGAATAATATAAATTAGTAATAAAATTTCTAAACAAATGAAGTGTAATTTATCTGTGGTGGGATTTCATTGTATCTTTAAAATTGATCCCTTTTTATAAAAAAATTTCTGAATATTGTGCTTTCCAAATTTTATTTTTTTACATATTTTTGGATTTTATTTCTTTTTTTTTTCCCGAACTACTCTCATCCCTGATATAATTTTTTTAAGTGACTTATTCATGTCTTAATTCATGGTGAAATAGCTAATAAGAGTAATATTTAAATTTTTTCTTTCACAATTTTTTTTCTTTCTTGTTATTGTTGATAGCTTTTCTATGTTAGTAAAAGTTTTATGAAAGGATGACAAAGTTTATTCCTTGATGTTAAGTTTTAAGCTGAACAGTTTGAAAAAATTTCAGTATTTTTTCATCCCTTTTATAATATTTATTTATCAATCTTTTTATTTGACTTATTCTTGTATTAAAAGGTTGATTAATAATAAAATAAGAAAAACAAATAATTCTCATAACTCATTTTTTTGCTTATATATGCCTAATTATTTAATTGAATTCTAAAAGTATAGTTTTAAAAACGACTCTTTTTATTTAATTATGTTTCTCTGCTTTAAAAAAATATTAATTCTATTAATGGCTTTCTTAATGGGCGATAGAGCTGAAAATAAAACAGTGAGAAAGTGGAAAAACTTCTAGTAAAGCTATTTCCTTTTTAGTTATCTTTCGAGAGGAGTAAAATAAGCCTTTATTATTTTTAATTATAAACACTATATACTTTCACTTGGGTGAAAAAATGTCCTATATTTATGTTATAACTGTAAAAAATTCTAGGTAGTAATGCATATCTTCTCAAAAACAATGAAGTGATTTTCCTAGCAGATTTTGCTTTTTTCTGCTGTAAAATATTTATTTTCCTAATGGGCAAGAAAAGTATTTTAATCATTTAATTACTTTTTCTTCTTTCAGAGATTATGAGAGTAGTGATGATGAAGACAGCCTTCCTCGTAAGCTGAAGGCAATCAGAGGAAAAGAAAGAGATCCCGATCTTGGAAAAGTTGTGTGCGTTGATTATGGTGATCGTAGAAAGAAAGATAATTGGTATCCAGGGCTCATTGTTCCTCTTCCACCTCAGTCCAATATTAAAATTCTAAAAGAAGAGCATTTGATCCGATCTTTTAAAGATGGGAAATAGTATGTAAACTTTTTAGTTTTTTTTAATTTAATGAAAAACATATTGTTTAGGTTATTTGTGCTAAAAATCCTTGTTTTTGGAAATGCCAATAATTGCAGGTGAATTCTCAAAAAGTGGTAGCATTTTTATATAGATAATAAATATGACAACAATTAGGTTTAAATTTAGTAATGAATTATATGTACATGTTATATATATATAATAATATAACATAAGTACTGTTTGTCTAAGATTGGTTCTCTTCCAGACATTCGTCTGGGGCTGTGGCGGTGACTATGGTAACGAGGTATGATTATTTCAAGTAGGGGTGCGGGTCCCTCTTTAGGACTGGTTTCGGCGAGAAAGAAGGAGACCTCTTTCATCGAAGCTACCCTCCCTAAAATGCCCTCTTCTTGCTTCCATAGCACCAGACTGCCGCAGACTTAGTGGCGGTCAGATTACCTATCTTAGACAAACAGTATGATAGAACTCAGAATTGGCTGTAGTTAACATTGTCCTTCCTACCTTTCTTGAAGTGCTTTTTTCTTAATTTTTTAGTTTCTCTGTTTTTACAATGGCTTAAGTTTGCTTAAATTCTAACTTTAGACTAAAAAAAAGAAATTAAATTTTTTTCGTCAATTTATTTTTTGGTCTTGGGTGGTTTGTGAAAAAATATTTTTCTTATCTGGAGTCTTAGTTTGGAACATTTAGATACATTTCTATTTCTGGACTTATTATATATAGCTAATTATTATGAGCTACTAATTTATGTGTTAACAAATAGGGGTCTGTCTAGGCCAAATTGACTGCCATTTAGCGGTACCTTCACAAATTCAACTTTAGGAAATTTCGCAAAATATTTTCTTAACATTTTATTTTCATATCCCGTAAGAAACGATAAATCCATATTTGTACGATATTTTTGTGTTGATTTTTTAATATAGTTTTTAATTTTTACAAATTATGTCTAAAATTTCACAAAATAGGTACCTTTCAGAAAAACCTAGGCAGACCCCTGACAGATAAATATTATAGTTTTCTTTGTTTAAAAATCTAAAGATGTTTATTTATTTTGTTTGTAATTTTAGCTACCAGGTTCCTAAGCGTGATATACGAGAATTTACTAAAGAATGTGGACAAAAAGTAGAAAATAATGCTCTACGTTCTGGTAATCATTTTATTTCTTATATAAAGATTTTTTTTATCCTTTTCTAACTCAGATTTTGTGTTATTTATTATTGTTCTAATAATAATTTAGAAAAATAAATCTGGGGATGATTAGAAGTCAAAAACTCCCATTTTTCTAATGTCTCCCATAGTAAGATTGGGAACTGAAAATTTTGATTTACAAAATTAGAATCAAAACAAAAGAATATTTACTATTTTAATTTTTATTCATGGCCAAGTCATGAAATAAGGCTATGTGAAGGCCAATTAAATATGTTTCATAGTTGACGATTTGTGTGGTTTGAAGAAAATTTATTTTATTAATTGCAACTTTTATGCTTTATTGTATAAATCACAATTTTTAATGCTTAATAAAAGCAAAAAAATTCTCACCATAATAATTCATTAAGTGAATTAATTGCTTATAAGGTATTTATTGTTTATAAGTTAAGTAGCTATGCTTTTGAGTATTGGCAAAGAATAGTGGTAATTAGGTTGGTTTTTGACACTTATGATGTTATATCATAAGCGATTTGTAAGGCTTTGCAAACTATAATAAAAATAACTATTTATCAGTCAAGAAGGAAATTTTTTTCTCTTAGCAAATTCAGTTTGATTTTAAAAAATTCAAACATTTTTCTAAAATATTTAATTCTTTTTAATTTTCCACTTTATTTAAAAATTTAGCTGTTAGGAATAGAATAATTATATTTATTTCCGATTAGCATTATGTCATAAACAATTTGCAACAAGTTTTATTCAGGGATAAGAAATATAATACAAACTATTTATTATGTTTTATTATATCAGGGATTACATTTTATTCAGGATTTATTTTTGTATCTTCTGTTACTGCAGTCATAAGTCATAATTGAATGAAATGATTTGTATTCTTTTACGATATTGATTACTTATGGTGGAAGCCAGCATGATACACATGAATATAATGTTTCATTTTAATAATGTAACTTTTTTAATGAAATGTAATAAATGAATACATTAGTAATTTAGAATTACAATCACAATAAATCTAATGTTTTCATATAATTTTCTAGCTTTTACATTTGTTAAAGAGACTAACCAATAAGGAGGGCCTCACTTAGGGAGGAAATTTGGTATTCCAGTACCTTAAGATTATTCATTCCCTTTAAGCACATTAATCTGCAAATTCCTGAAAGAAAATGCTCTAAAAATTTAAGCATATTTTAAATACTAGTTAAATCTTAGTTTCAAAAATGGCACAATAGCAGAGAACCTGCCTAACTAGGAGATGCTTAGTATTCAATTGGGGTAGTAAACAGATCTTTATCTCTTACTTTTTTTGCTATTTTTTTTTGTTACAATTTTTAAATAACTCAACATTTAAATTAAAGTATCTTTTTCGTTTTTTAAAGAAGCTTCATCATTTTACAAACAGTATTAATTTAAATATAAATTATTTTATGGTATTTTTTTTTCAGTTACTAGATATTACCTAACTTTTTTCAATAAATGAATGATGGTTAAAATAAGGATAGTTATTAGCAGTGGTTATAATAATTAAAGAGTTGGATATTTTCGCGTTTCCTTTTAAATGTACTTAAATGGTGTCATATAACCTACATGTAAAATTTTAACTATCCCTGCCGAGCACATTAGTCTAGAAATTACAAACCTGAATGAAGCTTTTTTATACCCAAACATCTTTTGTGAATCTATATTAATGAAAACATATGAATGTACTATTAAAGAAATGTTTTACCATTTTATCCTCCTCACTTACCAGAAAGAAAAACTAAACAGTTAAAAGAAATACAAATAGTAGGAACTAGTTTTATACAGACTTAACCTATTAATCTGTAACTAATCATTGGACTGAATTGAAAACATGTATATTTTCTTTTATTTCATGCAAATTAGCATAATTTATGAAAAGTATTTCAGTTAAAAAAAAAAGAATTATTGCCAGCCATTAAAAGTGTGCTCTCCACAAATACTAAAAGAAAATAAAAATATTTTTAATTCTAAATAGATAAAACTTCTTTGGAAAAAAAAAAGCGCTAAAAAGCAGCAGAAATTTCAAAAAAAGTGGCAATAAAGGAAACGAAGGCAATAAAAATATGACCACCAAGGCCGACGTCTTCAGGGGGTACCGGCCCCAGTAGACATAAAACAAAATCATTTCTAATTGAGGGAGAAGCAAATTCCTAAATTAACTCCCTCAGTACCCCGATGGTTTTGTATAGAAGTCCAGGAAAAAACATGAAATACAAATAACTCAAACAAATTCATCAGAATAGTCATTTCATGAATGCCATCATTCAGTCATTCATAATTCACCATTTCATTTAGAATTCTGCGGATTTATAAAACAGGTGAGTGTTATGATTTTAATAATAAAAAATTTGGTTGTAAATATTTTTGTTCTTCTTATTTGTTGATAGTTCTCTTCAGAATGGTTTTTTACGTCTGATTAAGAACTATAAGAATAAGAAAAAAAGAAACAATATGAAAGTTTTTATTTCAATATGAAGAATTTCTAAAATAGATTTTTATCCTAGGAATTCTTTATTTTGCGTTTTTTAGTTGATAATTTTTTGATAAGAATTGTTATCAAAATACTTTTTTTGAAAAATTAAATTTTTTAATATTACGTGTTTATGTATACTTCTTGTATATTCTAATGTTTGAAGTAATATGATTCAGAAAAGTATGGAATAAAATTTCGGTACTTACATATTAACGCCACTGCCGCTACAGATTTGGCGGTTTTTAAGTCTCGCCTATCGACACTTAAAATTTTTGCTACAAATCATAAAATAAAACACTTTATTTAAAATCAAAGTAGCCAATCGGATTTGGGTGGAAAATGGGCCGATATAGAGTTTAGCATAGATTCAAAACAATCATATCGCCATATGAACTCTGATAAATAAGATTCCAAATGAAATAACACTTCCAAAACCTATGTTTACCAAGATAAAGTCTCATGTCATGGGAATATTCGTACGTTTACCAAGATAAAGTTTCATGTCATGGGAAATGGTACATTTTCGTTTTTTCAGTAAAATATTTTGCTCCTGAAAAAATAAAATTGTATCTTGTTTTGTTATTGGCAAATCCCAAAGAGGCATTTTTGTAGCACTAAAAAATGGCGTCAAAAAAGAATTGTTTTTTTTTTTGTTTGTTTTGTAAGCATTCTTTATTTTGCGTTTTTTAGTTACTAATTAATGATTTTTATTGAAACTTAAACTTTTTTGATAAAAATTGTTGTCAAAAAACTTTGTTTACAAAATTAAATTATATAAAATTATGGGGCTTTATGTCCTACTTTTTGTTCATTTTAATGTTTAAAGTAATATGATTCTTAAAACTATGGAATGTAAAGTTTAAATGAGCCTTTCATGTTATATCATTAAATTTAGTAAAACTATTTCTCAGGCATTGGGTTTTAACTCTAATTAGAAGATACATATTTTCTTCTGTTTACTTACAAATATTTTTCCCATGTGTTTTGGATGTTCCTTCTCTAAAAAAAAAAAAGAGATACCATTTTCTTTTCTTTGGCATAAGAAAGAATATCAAAAATTTTTCTTTTTTAAATTTAATAAGCCTCAATAAAGAAGGAGCGTTACAATACTACATGCTGCATTAAAGACATCTCCAGAGTAACTGACTGACTGTTCTCTGAAATCGCAGGTATTCGTCGCATACAACAACGCCCCTATAGTTTGTTGCGATCGCGAATTGTTTATTTTTGTAAAATCACAATTTGAAAGCAGAAATATAAACAAAATAAGCACGTAATTTCAGATAAACTTAGAACTAATAATTTGGTGATGTAGTTTGCGTATGCTACCACGATCTTGTTGATCATTCAGATAACCTGGCATAACAAATAAAATATAAGTAAGTATAAGAGAATGCTCAAATAATATCTCTTTTTATTAAAGATATAACATAGCAAACATAACTGATATCTTTACAATTGTAAAAACTGAATCGTTTATAGCTTATTGTATAACACTAGCTTCCGCTTAGCAAATGAGAAAATTCAATTTTTTAAATGTCTCTGAATTTGAAATACAAATAAAAAATCAAAAATCAAGCTTTTTAATTTGTTTACAATTTTACTTATTTAGATTCATTTTGAATCTTGCATTCTTAGAGTTTACGCTGTACTCTCAATCAGGGTTCGCCAAGTGGGCCCACTTTGAAAAAACCCGCCCGGGTTTTATTGGGTGGGCCCACCTTGAAAAAACCCACTTGGAACGATAAGTGGGTTTTTTCAACAAAAAAATCCCTTTTATTTCCACTGTGGAAATAAACTCNTATTATTGTTCTAATAATAATTTAGAAAAATAAATCTGTGAATGATTAGAAGTCAAAAACTCCCATTTTTCTAATGTCTCCCATAGTAAGATTGGGAACTGAAAATTTTGATTTACAAAATTAGAATCAAAACAAAAGAATATTTACTATTTTAATTTTTATTCATGTTCAAGTCATGAAATAAGGCTATGTGAAGGCCAATTAAATGTGTTTCATAGTTGACGATTTGTGTGGTTTGAAGAAAATTTATTTTATTAATTGCAACTTTTATGCTTTATTGTATAAATCACAATTTTTAATGCTTAATGAAAGCAGAAAAATTCTCACCATAATAATTCATTAAATGAATTAATTGCTTATGAGGTATTTATTGTTTATAAGTTAAGTAGCTATGCTTTTGAGTATTGGCAAAGAATAGTGGTAATTAGGTTGGTTTTTGACACTTATGATGTTATATCATAAGCGATTTGTAAGGCTTTGCAAACTATAATAAAAATAACTATTTATCAGTCAAGAAGGAAATTTTTTTCTCTTAGCAAATTCAGTTTGATTTTAAAAAATTCAAACATTTTTCTAAAATATTTAATTCTTTTTAATTTTCCACTTTATTTAAAAATTTAGCTGTTAGGAATAGAATAATTATATTTATTTCCGATTAGCATTATGTCATAAACGATTTGCAACAGGTTT